TCGGTTAAGCGTCCGACTTTCGCTTAGGTCATGATCTCGCGGTTCGTGGGTTCGAGCCCCGCGTCGGGCTCTGTGCTGACTGCCAGCTCAGAGCCTGGAGCCTGTTTCAGTCTGTGACTCCCTCTCTCTCTGACCCTCCCCTGCTCATGCTGTCTCTCTCTCTCTCCTAGAAATGAATAAAACATTTAAAAAAAAAAAAAGGGATCTGTCTCTGCCATCTTGCAGTTTGTTTTCTATATGTCTTACATAGTTTGGTCCCTTGATTCCTCCAATCTTACCCTCTTTTATGTTTAATTTTTTTTGCATGCCATTTCTGTTCCCTCATTTCCTTTTCTGTATATTTTAAAGTTATGTTCTTAGTGTCTAGCTGAGGGATTACAATTAATCTTAAATTGGCAATAATCTAGTTTAATCAACATTAATATACTTATAACTGTTGTTTTAAAATTCTGTCTTTTAAATCATAAAGGGAACAAAAAGTTGTTACAAAGCAAAAATAAAGCAATACTGGCTTTTAAATTTAAAAAAAATTTTAATGTTTACTTATTTTTGAGAGAGACAGAGGATGAGTGGGGGAGGGGCAAAGAGAGAGGGACACACAGAATCCAAGGCAGTCTAGGCTCTGAGATGTCAGCGCAGAGACTGATGTAAGGCTCGAGCTCACACACCATTGAGATCATGATCTGAGCTAAAGTCTGGCACCTAACTGAATGAGCCACCCAGGTGCCCAAGCAATATTGGCTTTTATATTTCCCTGTGTGGTTACCTTAACTGGTCTTTATTATTTTTAAATTTCTGAGTTACTGTCTAATGTCCTTTCATTTCAGCCTAAAGAACTCCATTTGGCATTTTTTGTAGGGTAGAACTATGAGCAATAAACGTTCTCAGCTTTTGAATGTCCTAATTTCTCTTTCTGGGACTTCCATTACGCATCATACTTGATGGTGTCTCTCATTTACCTTGGGCTCTGCTCATTTTTAGTCACTCTTTTTGCATTCTGTTCCTCTGACAGGACAGTATCAGCTAACCTAAGTTCTGTGATTTTTCTATCTCCCTTCTCAACTCTACTGTTGAACTGTTCCCAGTGAATTTTTTATTCAGTTTCTATACTTTACAAGCTCAATTATTATTACTTGCTTCCTTTCTATGATTCTTATTTCTTTGTGGGTATTCTCTATTTATTAATGCATTGTTCACCCTGTTTCCTATAGTTCTTTGTCTACAGGTTCATTTAGCTCTTTGAGCATATTTAAGACAGTTGATTTAAAGTCTTTATCTAATAAGTGCAATGCCTAGGTTTCCTCAGAGATAGTGTCTGTCCTTCTTTTTCTTCTATTGATGGGTCACTTATTCCTGATTATTGGTATGCCATGCAGTTGTTTTATTAAAGAATGAACATTTTAAATATTATAATGGGGTAATTCTGAAAGCCAGATTCTCCCTATATCCCAGTGTTGGGTGTGGTCTACCTTGTTGAGGACTATAGTCATTAGCGTTCAGTGATTTTTTTTCCCAAAGTGTTGTTTTGCAAAGGTTGTGTTCTCTGTCACGTGTCATCATTGAAATTTCTGTTCTACTACCTAAATAGTCAACAAGACTAAAGACTAAAGAGAATTCTTTGAATGCTGGAAGCAAAAAGAATGAAAAAACAAAGCACAAAACACAGTGTCCTAATGTTTGCAGATTGGCTCTGAGCTGGGGACCTCCTTTAATTTTTAGCTAGACCTCCTACATCTCTGCCTTGACTTTCACTACTTCACTGCATGGGGCACAAAGATCAGCAAGAGGTACAAGCCAACTCAAGTCTTTTCCAAGCATATGTCTGGCCTGGGCATGGGTGCTGCACTCTGGATTTCCAGGTATATGCAACGGTTCTTCAAAGCTTCTATACCTGAAATGTCTTTTCTCCAAAGTCTCTTCCCTTCTAGGCTTTTTAGTCTGTCTACTGCCTGTCCCATTTGCACTCGCTTGGCCCAATGAGAACAAGTACTGTATGTCTTTAAATCTTTCCAATAGATGATACCTGGGTACAATCTCCTCAAGCCAGTATCCAGGTTGAAGATTGGCTCATGACTGTAGGCTCCTCTTTTATACTCTTGAAGACTGGAATAATGCCTGACATTCAGTCACTACACAATGAATATAATTACTGCATGGACCTATAATGTTTAGGCAATACAAAGAACATAAAAAATAATATCATAACCTCATTTTTAGCACTTTAGCACTTACGTTCTGGTTGTTTTTCATTAGGTGTTATAGATCGCACAAAATCTTGTGGGGTCATAAACACTTCAGATTCACCAGGTTCATTGATTACTTTCAAGGTGGCAAAATATCGGAAGATTTTGTCTGGTGTGGAATATGCTCGAATCCTATTCTCATACTCCATCACCTGAAATTAGAAATTCAGAGTGTTATTATATTAAGCAATTCTCATTTTCATACAGATTCTATCTTACTTTTGGAGTTATTTTATTATATCTTTTTTTCTATAACTGAATTTTTTTATATTAGGCATAAACTAGAATTTCAAAAACTTTTCAACCTTTCCCCTTTGATATAACTGGAATTCATATTCCAGTTGAGGAAATGCTTAACTTTTGTTTAGAAATTTTTGCAAATAGTTTTCTAATTTCTTAAATCACTGAAAGCCACAAATTTGAAAATATCATATAATAATTCAGTATAATGACATATATATGGAAGCCTATAGATAGATTCCTAAATACTAAATTTTTAAAAAGGATTTAATTTCTTAATTAAATGTAATTTCTTAAATCTTAAAACAAGACAAAATTGAGAGTTCATAGGTTTAAACAGCTAATAGTTTTTCAAACACAATGTACATTAAATAACAACATTAAAAAAATAAAATTACACAACATGGAAACTCAATTAACAAGTCTGAAGCAAAAAGCCTTTTACTTTTGACTATAAAATTAAGAAAACTGCTGCAAATCCTTTATATGCACCATATTTATTTTTATTTTATTTTTTTAAAAAATGATATTATTTAGAGAGAGAGAGTGTGTGTGTGTGTTACATGAATGAGGGAGGGTAAGAGAGAAAGAGAATCCAAAGCAGGGAGCACACTGATGCTACGGCTCAATCTCACCAACCATGAGATCAGGATTTGAGCCAAAATTCAGAGTTGCATGCTTAACCGACTGAGCCACCCAGGCACCCCTACATACTCCATATTTAGAAAATAGCAGAGTTGGGAAGAATACAAGTAAATACCTGAATAGTAACAAAATCAAATATGGCATATATTAAACTAAACGAGTATAATTTTAATAGGCCCATTTTTTAATCTGGCATCTAAGCTGTGATTCTATGGCAACATAGAAACACTGTAATTCTTCATAATCTTCTTTTACAAATGTAGGTATAAGAAAAATCTTTTTTAACAAAATACCAGCTACAAAGCACTCTGGTGAAAAGATCTCTCTTGTACCTGAATTTTAGATGTAGAGATAGCTAAAAATAAATAGTAGCTTATAAATAACTAGTAGGAAATGTGTGAAGGCAATACAATCTAAAAATCCAATAGTTCAATGTCTAAAAAGCAATTTGCTAATATTAAAAAAAATTAATGTTCTTAATTCGCCATGTTAACACAACTAACACTGTACCTGCCACTCCTGAATAAATGGTCTCTTTGAGATCACTGACTACAGCATTCAAGAGTGGTCTTAATTCCACTACCTGATATGCTTTCAGCAACTAGGAAAGGACCTCTAATTTATAACTATACATGAGAGAAATCTTCCAAGGCTAATATGATTAAAATCTGAGTACTGTTCATCAAAACATTTTGCATTGTGGCAAACACACTAAGCCTTAGGACATCGATACAAGTCTTAAATCAAAGGCACTTTATATTATATAACAACTACCTGCTGGATAATACTGGCTTATAGAAGCAATTTCTTCTTATAGAAAAAATAACTTTAGGACATCAGTATTCTTTTTTTAAAAAAATTTTTAATTTTTTTTTTAATTAACTTCTGAGAGACAGAGAGAGACAGCGTGAACAGGGGAGGGTCAGAGAGAGAGGGAGACACAGAATCTGAAGCAGGTTCCAGGCTCTGAGCTGTCAGCACACAGCCCGACACGATGCTCGAACCCACGAACCGTGAGATCATGACCTGAGCCAAAGTCAGACTCCCAACGGAGTGAGCCACCCAGGCGCCCCTAGGACATCTGTATTCTTGTTCTTCTTAACAACAACAAAAATAATCAGTTTGTAATGTTTAGGGCATAAGCTGTAGCTACTGCCAAAGATGTTTTTGTGAACTAAAAACTTAAAGACAGAAAGACAACAACTTAAAAGTCAATAATTTTCAGAGTCAAAACCAGATTTGTTGGTTGTTGCAAGTCCCTAAATTATATTGCTGAATATTATTAGTTTTGGTTTGAAACAATAGGTCAAGGAAAGTAATAGACTTTTCGCATTCTCATACTGTTATAGTTTAATACAGACATACTGTATAGTACTTAGTTTACTTTTTTCACTTAGCAATGTATCTTGGAGATCACATCATAACAAATGATATAAATGATATAAAGCAGTCTCCTTTTAAGTGGCTATATTCAAAGGAATTCTAACAAACTGTTTCATAAAGCATTTGGAATACAGCACCTAAGATAAGAAAGGCTTAGAAGCCAAGATATATAGAAAACTGTTGAAGGATTTTGAGATGGTTAGCCTGGAGAAAAGATTTACTAAGGTAATTATAATAGTTACATTCAATCATTTACTTAAACTGGAACTTCATGTTAAGACAGTTTTCTTCAATAAAACTGCTTGTCCTAAAATCAGCTCTAGGGTTTAATTTTGGCACAATGCCTAAGGAAAACCAAGACTATAATATCTTGAGGTCAAGTGAATGCAAGTAACTGTGAACCCCTCCGGTGGGCCCTGATGTCAGAACTCATGTAAGCTTTGAATTCAGACTGCAGCCAGACCTTGGAAAAGATAGCAGGCAGAAAGATCTTGTAAATAAATTAGTGTCTGGCACACTTTCTTTCAAGAGGTGATTTATAACACCCAATCTGTACCCCAATAGCTGTCTTCCATGTTAAGAACTCCCTCTTTCTTTCCATCTAGTGAATTTCTGGCCATCCATAATAACAGTAATCTATTATAGGATGACCTCTTGAAGTTCTATGAAATTCCAAGCTCTATGACACCAGTCTCACTGAATATAAAGCAAATTAATTTTTGGCAGCAAAATTAAGGAAACTGCCTAATTAGAGGAACAAAAAGAAAAGAGAATGAAAAGAATGAAGATAGCTTAAGGGACTATAGCACATCATCAAATGTCCAAAATATACATTAAAAAGGTCCCAGAAGGAAAAAGAATGAGAGAAAGAGGCAGGAAACTTATTCAAAGAAACGATGACTGAAAATGTCCCCAATCTGGAGAAAGAAACAGACATGGAGACCTAGGAAACTCAGAGTTCTAAACATGATGAATCCAAAGAAACACACATTGAGACACATTACAGAGTTTTCCAGGAAAATAAAAGCTAAAGGAGTTCATCAACACTAGATCACTCTTACAAGAAATGTTAAAGGTAATCTCTGAACCTGGGGTGCCTGGCTGGCTCAACTGGTAGAGTATGTGGCTCTGGATCTCAGGGTCATGAGTTTGAGCCCCATGTTGGGCACAGAGATTACTTAAACTTAATTTTTATGAACTTTATAAAAAATATTTTTGAGAGAGAGAATATGAATGGGGGAAGTGTAGAGATGGGGGGTGGGGGGGCAGAGGATTCAAAGCAGGCTCCACACTAACAGCAGAAAGCCCAACATGGACATTGAACTCATAAGCCCTGAGATCACGACCTGAGCTAAAGTTGGATTCTCAACTGAGTGAGCCACCCAGGTGCCCCAATAAACTTATTTTTTTAAAGGTAATTCCTGAACCCAAAAGAGACAGCAGTATCAGCAAAACCTATAAAAATGTAAAACTCACTGGTGAAGGTAAATATATAGTTAATTTCAGAACACTCTAGTTTTGTAATGGTGGTGGGTAAATCACTTCTCACTAGCATGGGGATTTTTTAAGAAGTATTAAACATAACTTTAATAATCTGTAAATGGATAAACAATGTAAAAAGATATAAGCTGTGATATTAAAAACATAAAATATTGGAGGTGTATAAAGGTAGAGCTTTTGTATACATTAGAAGTTAAACTGTTATCAGCTTAAAATACTGGTACAAGATATTTTATGTAAGACCCATGGTAATCATAAAGTAAAAACCTATACCAGATACACAAAAGGTGAAAAGAAAAAAAATCTAAGCACACTATTACAGAAAATGATCAAGTCACAAAGGAAGAGAACAAGAAAGGAAAAAAAGGGTAAAGGAATTACAAAACACTCAGGAAACAAATAATAAAATGCAATAGTAAACCCATTTCTATCAATAGTAAACCCATTTCTATCAATAATTACTTTAAATGTAATGGATTAAATCTTGCAAAGAAACAGAATGGTGAAATAAAAAAAAAAAAAAAAAAAAAAAAAAAAAAAAAAACCAAAAAAAAAAAAAAAAAAAAAAAAAAAAAAAAACAATACCCAACTATATACTGTACTACAAGAGGCTCATTTCAGCTTTTAGGACACACACAGGCTGAAGTGAAGTTGATGGAAAAAGATATTCCATGCCAATGGAAGCCAAGAGAAAACAGGGGTAGCTATATTACCAAATAAAATACATTTTAAGTCAAAGACTATAACAAGAGACAATGAAGAGAATAATATAATAATAAAAGGTCAATTCATAAATAGAGTGTAAGATTTCTACATAGTTATGCCTCCAACATAGAGAACCTAAATATATAAAGCAAAATTGACCAGAACTGGAGGGGAAAATACACAGCATTATTTATAATAGCCAAATTATGGAAGCAACCCAAGTCTCCATTGATAGATGAATGGATAAGGAAGATGTGGTATACATATAGCAGCAATAAAAAAGAATGACATCTTGCCTTTTGCAACAACATGGATGGGTCTAGAGGGTAAAATGCTAAGTGAACCAAGTCAATCAGAGAAAGACAAATACCATAAGATTTTCACTCATATCTGGAAAGGAAAAAAGAGACAAAAAAACCAGACTCTTAAATATAAAGAACTGATAGTTACCAGAAAGAAGGGGGGTGGGGAGATGGGTTAAACAAGTGATGGTGATTAAGGAGTACACTTGCTTTGATGAGCACTGGGTGATATATGGAATTGTTAAATTACTATATTGTACACTGAAAACTAATATAACTGTGTGTTAACTAACTGGAATTAAAATAAAAACTTTAAAAGACAAAATAAAATAAGAAGCAAAACCAAATACAACCCCACAAAAACCAATTCAGTTAAACAGGCAGAATGACCTAAATAGATATTTTTACAAGGAGGACATCCAAATGACCAACAGATATATGAAGAGATGCTCGACATCACTAACTATCAGGAAAATGCAAATTAAAACCACAAGGAGATATCACGTCACACCTAGTAGATGGTTATCAACAAAAAGAGAAAAGATAACAAGTATAGATGATGATATGGAAAAAAGGGAACCTTTTTGCACTGTTGGTGGGAAACTAAATTGGTTTAGGGAAAATAGCATGGAGGTTCCTCAAGAAATTAAAAATAGAACTACAACATCATTCAGAAAACCCACTTCTGGGTATATAGCCAAAGGAAACTAAATCAGTACACTGAAGAGATATCTGTTCTGCCACATTCATTACTAGTCACAATAGCCCAAGGTAGGGAAACAACCAATACAGGTC